AAAAAAAAAAAAAAAAAGCCCACCAACACAGAAACTGATCATGTTCCCAACTTTTCAGAAATAAAAGACTCCATCTGCCCAAATAAAAGGAGGTGGCAATGCAAGGAACAGAACTCTTAGAGCTATGAGGCTTTTAATTCTTTGCTTATTTACTAAGTCACGCTATCTTTGTAGACTCCCTTTAAAAAACTGTATTAAAAACCAAAACCCACTCCAGGAGCTCCAGAAAATGCAATATGCAAATGTGGTGATATGCACTGCAATGATAAGGGCACCCTTAATCTGGAGGTCAGAGAAGCCAAGGCCACCAGGGCTCAATGGCATGCCCACACAAAAGTCACCATCAACTCAGTTTCACACAGGCCAGAGGGCACCAGCTCCCAGCAACCTCTGTGCCCATTTACTAACACACCTGCCAGCCCGGGGGAAGGGTGCCTGGCGGCCATGGGGAGGACACATGCACTAACCTGGTTCTTTTCATGGACAGAACAGAAAGCACTGAGGAGGAGCCTAATGATGGACAAGTGATTATAGCGTGCGGCAACGTGCAAACAGGTGTCGCCTGCCTGCGGACAGAAATCACACTCTAAGCACAGTTTGAGCAGTTACAAAGCAAAATAGAAATAAAAATAAAATATCATTTCAGAGCTGGCACACTATCATACATTCTTCAGGGGATGACAACTTGAATGATAAGCACCTCTGTTTTTGATCTTGGCTGCTGTGGTTGCTGCATGCAGTCCTGCTCACTTGATGCCACGTAGGGCAACGAAGTAGGCAACCAGAATCTCCACATCTACATTTCACACATGGATGTTTGTTTCCCATAAGACCCTCACAAGAGCTAAGGCAGGCCCTGTTTACCCTGCATTCAGATAAGGATTCACTGTTTCCACCTCACCTATAATCTCAGAGCTCTGCAATACATTGCAGTAAGAATGTATCGCTTTGGAAATAAGCCAATGGTTGGCTAACAAGACAACGTAGCAGAGTGAGTTGTTGAATTTTAAGAGCACATGTGTTCTAGAAAATTCCAGAAACATCCCTTGTCAGTTGGAACCCAGTATCAGTGTGACCTGAGGAGCGGATGAGGAAGCAGATCACTGGGAGGAAACAAAAAGACATTCAGAATAGCTTAGGGTCAGGATCGTCCTTAGTGGTCACAAACTGAACTCTGTTCACAGAAGGACAAAATTGGAGATGAAGTTGCGACATTCTGCAGCGTTCTCTTGACTCCCGAATTTATAGCTCTGCCTGGAGAACAGCAGCCACTCAACAGAACCTTCTTTCTCTGGATGAAGGAGGAACTGTGTTCATGTTGAGGCACAGGGCTCTCTATGAACCCTGTTAGATGACTGGGTCCCATAAAGGGGAGAGCTAAGGTCATTTGGGGAGAAACACCAGTCAAATTCTCTAGCCAAGGTGGCTAAAGCCTAGGGCTATAAAGGAAACGCAGTGTCTTTAGTGAGAGCTCTTGAGATCTTTTGAGTTGGGCATCTTCTGACTATTGATTCCAAGGACACCTTAATGGTAAGATCAGACTTTACAGATGCCAGGTATGGAGAGCTAGAAAAACAACATTGTAAGGCCTCCCCTGTACTGCATCATACAATACTTGCTAATAATACAATGCTCTATGTGTGCTGGTAGGGGCTTCCTAGCCTATAACTCACCAGAAACATGTAGCAAAAATGAGAAAAGGCACTGAGGAGCCAGGGGAAAGGGCAGAAGAAAAGCCTTGTTTCCAAATTTTTGGACTCCTCATGTCTCTAAAGGATCACTTAGAAAGCTAGTAAAAAATGAATACTTTATCTACATAACTCACAGACACTTTCAATACTTTAATTTATAACTTTCAGTCATCAAGTGAGATCCTGGAGCTGTTTTCCGGTGGCATGAGAAGACGGTTTTGTTCACTCACGTTGTTTTTGAGGTCCGCACGGGAGCCGCCCAGGAGGAGGACCCGTGCACTCTGGGAATGGCTGTTCTGGCAGGCCAGGTGCAGAGCGGTGTTCCCTGCCTGGAGAGAGGCAGACAGAGGGAGGACATGTCAGGGACTCCCTTCTCCACAGGCCTGCACAGGGCACACCTTGCAGAGGGAGAAACAAAGACAGCACTCTTATCCTCATCTTCTGGATAGGCTCTAAGTGGAAATGTTACAACAGTTTGAGATTTGTGGTTGAAGAACCCGAGGCCACTCAGAGAGGTGAAGCAGAGTTTCAGATTTTATTAAGCTGGCTGACTCAGAGGAGCTAATTTCTCCTGATTCTGAGCCCTGAATGGAGGGTAACACGGGCCTTTATGCGATCAGAGTCGGGGAGGGGCCAGGCTGCATACCTGTTGGAGGGCAGGGGGAAAGCCAGGAAGACAAGTCCTATTCCCTAACTTGATTAGCATTCTATCTTATCTCTTAGGTGGGGAAGATTGGTCCCATTCTGTAACCTGATTAGCATTTTAACTTGCCTCCTAGGGCAGAGAGGGCAGTGAATGATTTTTACTTTTTCCTGCTCAGAAGAAAGATTTAATTTGGATTCCAAATAGGTACATATGTCATAAAACCTGAGCTCTAAGTCCTTTCTCAGCTATTTACTAGCTGCAAGCCACTGGGAAAGGCTCCTAATATTCTCAAACTTGAGTCCCTTCTTACAGGTGATACATGGCTGCTAACCAGGAAGCTGCAGGCTCAAACCAGAGTAATGGAATATGTTTATGTATAAACCATCGAATGGGAAACTAATTTGCTCTGTAAACTTTCAACTAAAGTGTACAATTTTTTTTTTTTTTTTTAAGTTGGAGGCTCAATCTACACAGAGGTACCTCAGAAGAAAGATCTGGTGACCTACTTCTGGAAAGTCAATCATTGGCAATCCTACGCAATACTACTCTGACACACATGGGTTTGCCAAGAATTGGAACTAACTCTGACAACCTGTTAAAATGGGGCTGTGAGAAGCTGTTCAGTGTACCTAGGAAAGCAATTTTACTTTCAACTGCATCTTACCATAAAGATAGCAATCCCCTTGCTTTTTGGGCCTCTTTGGGCCAACATGCTATCAGGGGGAGTCAGTTGCTGGAGAAAGACATCATATTTGCCAAGGTAGAGGGTCAGCAAAAAAGAGAAGACCCCCAAGGAAATGGATTGACAGAGTGGCAGCAGCAATGGGCTCTAACGTAACAATTGTGAGGATGGTTCGGGACCGGGCAGTGTTTCATTCTGTTGTGCAGAGGATCATTATGAGTTGGAACCAACTGCACAGCACCTAACAATAACAACAACCTTCAACATGCCATGTCACAATGACAGCCAAGAGTTTGAATAATGTCCACAGCAATCTTGCTGAAAGAATTGGGTGAAATAACAGAGCTTTCTGAGGATATGTGAGTAGGGCCTGAAAGTGCTGGAGAGTTAACAGGAAAAGCAGGCTCAGTAGAGTCTTTAAAAAAAAAACGACAAAAAAAACCCTTGATGGCTAGGATTTGGGAGACCAGCTGTCCAGGTTTGCCTGAAGGTTGTTCTGGAATACAAGACTTTCAGTGCTAATGTCTGGTTTCCCACATGCCATGTAAGCCAGAATCCCCAGAAGGGGTGCAGCTGTGCAAAGGCATTTTTAAAAGCTCCCCCTGGTATTCTAATGTGCAACCAGCGCTGAAAACCACTGGGCTCACTTAAATACTTGAGAGCTTCAAACTGGTTAATTCCAGTTCAACCCCCAGTGGAAAGGCAAATTCTCAGAGGGGATTGAGCCAGAATGAACCAGTTAGAAGCCCTGTACTAACAGCACTCAGGTTTGTGCCTCTCCTCCAAATTCTCAGAGACAATAAAGAAAAAGATTCAACCAAGGCCAGTTAGAACTGATGCTATGAAAGGAGAGAAAAGTGAACAGATGACATTTTCTTCTTTTTTAATATTTCTTCCTCTTCTCAAAAGGTCAGGTATCTAACATCTTGGAGTACCAATAAATGATATCCATAGGGGCGTACTCTCATGACGGAGAGCAGTAAACAGGCAATAAGCCCAGACAGCCACAGCCCTGACCAGCTTTTAACCTCAGAGGAACAAACTCTGAGCTTATATACTTAACCTCCTGAATGCACACAAGAACTCTCAGACTAACACCAACCTCCTGTGGTGTCTCTTGCTGATTCCTCTTGGCACTACTCATGCCTGTCTACTGTTTACTGCCTCAAAGTCTCTCATGGTTCCCTCATGGGTTGAAAGTTCTTCGAGGGAAAGAATCAAGCTATGCATCTTAACATCTCTAATACCGCCTGGTTCACTGCTAGTGGCTGCTCTACCATTCATTCATTCAACAAATATTCTCTAAGCATCTACTGTGTACTTCCTCAAAGTGGAACCTGAGATGGTATGTAATTGCACTTTTTTATTTTTAATACCAACTCTAAGAAGTAGGAGATGCTCAGTTAATGTTCTCTGTGAGGACAGGGGGTGGGGCTTGCTTACTGACAATCTATTATGTTGTTGTAGTTAAGTGTTGTCAAGTTGGTTCCGACTCATAGTGACCCTGTACAGGGTTCCTGAGGAGCGGCTGGTGAGTCTGAAACGCCAACCTCATGGTTCAAACCAACCTTTTGGTCCAGTGCTTCATCCCACAGTGCCACTCTATAAGAACAACAGTGGAAACGCAGTAGTAGCTGGGAGATCTCAACAGAGGTCAAAGGCACTAGGGGAGGGTTCTCTCACTCAACATGCAGATGACACATTCACAAAGGAGTTTCAAAATTTCTTTTCTATCTCCTTAAATGTGTGGCCAGAGTAGTCACTATATTGATGGAGCATATTCCTGATAGGTTGACTTAGCCTGATGTTAAGATCTTGTGTGCAGATGTATATGTATGTATCCTTAACTAGAGACACTATGGTTTCAGATCCAACTTGGTCATGCAAATGTGTGTATGTGTTTTAGGGAGGTGGCTGTTGTCCATGCTTCTATACTGCTGCCACACAAAGGCCCAGTCTAGCACAGAGATGCCAGCTACATTGTGGGAAATCTTCAGGCCCCTTCAAAACCTTAGCACAGATGCATGATGTGCATCCAAGGACAGAAAAGGGGATGCATCTTGACTCCCTTTTCACAACTAATGCAAATAACCCAAGAGTATTGATAATACTTCTTCTTTCTAAAATAAAACACACCCTTTCCCCAATTATATAGGAAATAATGAGCTTATTTCGAAAACGTGTGGAAAGAAACAAAAGTTAAAAATAAAAAATCAATCTGTCTCAATTCCTAGTTAACCATAGTTTACATTTTGGTGGATAGCCTTCCAGACTTTCATTTTTCATGTATATATGCATTGATAGTAAGCATTAAGACATGTAGTGTTTGTTTCCCTTGGTCCTATCTGTCAATAAATTGTGAAAATTATCTCAAAAAATGTAATTTTAATGAGTACACTGTATTCCATTATGCAAATAACCATAATTTTAAATCACACATCCTTTTTTTGCTCCTATAACTAACTTGCTGTCATGAAAATCCTGTAGATACATTTTTATTTTTATCAGTATCTTCTATTGCTTTGTTTTAGAATAAACTTGTAGAAGGACAGTTATTGGGTGAAAACCTAGGACCAATATTAAGGTTCTTGGTTGGTTGGACTGAGTGGAGTTCGAGTGGGCTCACTTACAACCACTCTTACATGTACTGAGCATACACATACCTTTCTAAGTTCTTTTACAGATTTTTTTCAATGCCACCTCTCTATTGCTGTATTTTTCTTTAATATAGTCAAGAAGGTGGGGACATAATCCAATATAGGTTTCAGTAGCAGCTGGATCTTTCACATAATCCGTAGAGTTTTACCAATGCTAAGGGTGGGCTTCCTTTCTAACCTGGAATATTAATCAGCTTCCAGTCTTCTCCACAGATGAAACTTCTGAGTGGAACTGGGACCCTGCCAGGTTCTGCATGCCCTGCTGAGCAATCACTGCTCACCAAGAGGAGGCTCCACATGGATCAAGGTAAGGCCATCCTCACCTGCAGAGTCTTACCTTGTTCCTGGCAAGCACATTGGCTCCTGCCTTAACAAGCAACTTGGCTGACTGGCTGAATCCATGCCAGGATGCTTCATGCAGGGCTGTATTCCCATCCTAAGGAACAAACACAAGGAAAGAAAGCATACTACCCAAGATCGAATTCATCTCATCATATTCTCCAAAGGATCTGAAAATGTTTCTTCTCTTCTCTTGGGTAAATGTTTAGGGCACAACATAGGGCCTGGCTCAATGGGAGTTCCTCATCTGAACCACAGAGCACAGAAAATGATTTGAGTTGACTGTCTCCTCAATTCTTCCAGAAATGGTACCATCCAAGATGTTTAGAAGAGAAATGAGTTCATGATGCACAAAGTATGCCTTAGGGTGCCCTGGGAACCATGGGTGAGAAAGGCTCCAGGGCCATCCAAAGTTCACAGTTAACTGAAAGCAGCCTCAGTCAGGACAAGTTCTGTTCCTCCCCCTTCAGCATCGCTCCTGGGCGTTTGCTCTACTCCTAGCATCAGAGAACTCTGCAGAGACAGAGCAAATGAGGAGCTGGGATTTGTACAGCCCAAGGGCCCGTGGGCCTCATAGATAGATTCCTCCCATTTTCTTCCTCCAAATTTAGTTTCACCCTAAAGAGTTTGACCCCAAATCCTCAGGACCCCAAACAAATGAGCGGCACAGAATGATCTGTAAAGAAGATAAACAAGCATCTTCAATATTTGGCTTTTCAATGGAAACCAGCCAATTAATAAACATAGCTCTTATTTGCTTAATCACACCACCCAATGCCATGAAGATGATCCCAATCATGGTGCCCCCTAAAGGACATAATAGGACCGCTCCTTGGAACTGTTTCCAAGGCTGTAAATCTTCATGGGAACAGACAGCTTCTTCCTTCTCTCAAGGAGCAGCTGGTAGGTTTGAACCACAGACCTAGTGGTTAACAGCCCAGTGCATAACCTACTGCGCCCCTAGAACTCCTTATTTGCCTAATTAAAAAAAAAAAAAAAGTTAAATCCACTGCCACCTAGCTGATTCTGACTCACAGCTACCTGTTCAAGGTCCTCTGAGGCTGTAAATCATCATGGGGGCAGAAAGCCTCATCTTTCTCCTGCTTGGCAGCTGATGGATTTGAATTGCCGTTGGGTTAGCAGTTCAGTGTTTATTCTAAAGCACCAGCAGGGCTCCTTATTTTCATAATTATTGTTGTTGTTAAATGTAGTAAAGTCAGTGCTGTCACATAGCAACCCTGTATAGTGTTTCCGAGGAACGGCTGGTGGATTTGAACCATTGACCTTGTGGTTCGCAGTCCAGTCCTGATCCTACAGCACCAGTACTATGAAAAAGAGATGTTGCTGGGAGCACTGGAGACAGAAGTTAGAAGTTATCATGAGGGAGAAAGGTGGATCCTGTTCCCAGGTCAGCCAGTTGGGGGCAGTGCAGAAGTATGTACCAAGTATAGCTAAGCTCTGGCTTAGATTTCTATACCAAACACACCTGGGTCTCCAGCTAATACTTGGAAACATGCATGAAAGAGACAAAGGCTAGTGCTGCTGACACACTCGGGGGAAACCTGGGCTCCCAGTAGACATGGTGCCTGCACACATCAGCAGCCATGGTGCAGGGTGATGCTGGGATGATGTGACTGCACATGTAGGAAGCAGTTGGCACTACAGGAGGTGAATGGAAGGGACCACAGAGGAGGAGTAATGATCTGCTTCTTGATCCAGTGCTGGTCCCATAGGTGTGATCAGGCAGGAAAAATTCAGGGAGTATATTATGCTTCAATGAAAGGCTGGTTTAAAACATAAATAAAAAAGGCAAGTATCCTCACTGAGGCCTCCATAAGGCATCACATCTAGATCATTGTTGCTGCTAATGTTAAGTGCAGTCAAGTTGGTTCCCACTCATAGAGACCCTATATAAGGTTCCAAAGGAGCGGTTGTTGGGTTTGAACTGCTGACCCTGTGGTTAGCAATTCAGTGTTTATCCTATAGTACCATACCAGGACTTGAATGATATATGTGGTTGCCTCTGATGCCACAAAAACAGCGTGAAGGATTAAAGTTTACAATTTGCTAGGAAACCAGGGACCCTTGCAACAGAAACTGTCTGATCTTGTCATGTGAACTCATGAATGGTAAGACCCAGGAAGAGTAACACCGTGAGTACTAGCGTTTCTTTCTAAATTGGACTTTTCCAGCTCCCACTGTGATCGTGGCCCACAAGCTCAGGTGGTGCTGCAGTGCAGAAAGGAACCACACCCCCTTACCTTGTCCTGCCTGTCCAAAGCACACCCCTCCTGGATGAGCGCAGCGAGGATCTCGGTGTTCCCCACCACCGTGGCACGGTGCAGGGCGGTCTGGTCCCCCTGCACATGACAGAGAAGCAGAACCAGTGATCAGTTCTTCCCAACAGACCCCATACCACTTCTCCAGACTGACACAGGACATGTCCCGTTTCCATACAGAGCAGACTGGTGAGTCCAAAGAACTTGGTTACAATGGGCAAGGCGGGCTTTGCATTCTAGTTAGTAGACAGTGCATACATCCTGGCCTGACGGCAAACTCCACCACAAGACGCCCCTCAGCTGCAGAGCCAGCCTTAACAGAATGGGTTGGTAAGATCTGAGAAAGACAGGTCTGAAAGCCATACTGGGTGTGCCAAGCACTTGAACCAACAATGCCTGGAATTTCTATGACACGCTAGGCCCTCTTATTCCCTTCCTCCAGAGCAATCACTGTCCAGCTCTGTTATGATTTGATGTCCAGCATCCATGATTTGATGATGGCCATATAATTTGTTAACTTGCTCTAGCCAAGAGCAAAACAGGGTTACTCTGATTTCATCTGAGGACCCCAGGAATTTCATGGCCCCAAGCCATGTACATCCACAGCCTCTATCATTACATACATCTAAACAGCCTCCTCCAATATTTTACAACAACATCCTTACTGCTTTATGTTGCATTTGACCCCTTTCTCTGTGGTCAGATTCCTGGGATTGCCAACTCCCCTCTTTCTTGCTCAGAGTGCCTAAGGGAACTTGACTTTTGCCCTAATTGCAGCTCAGAAGACTAAGCACTCCCAGAGGTAAGAAGGTTAAGAGTGTAATAGGAGAGTTCTGAAGTCTGTAAGAGCGAGCAAGCAAGCACACTTTATCTCCAGCCTTGACTCAGGAAAATCAAGTCGAGACAAATCAGATGGAGCCACTCAAACTGGTCAAGGCTCCAACAGAGAGATGGGTAAGCTGTGTGGAAATTCCTAGTGGAAGGGAAGAGCTCAGGAGACCTGGGTACAGTCCTGACTCACAAGTGCAGAGTCTTGGAAAGGATCTGTCACCTCTGTAAAAGGAGAAGGATGATCCTCAAGATCCCCCCCTTCCCTGAGATTCGACGATTGAGCTGGTAAGAGTTTCATATAAATGAAATTTTCTGGCAGAGCAATGGAGGCGCAAAGTGTACATTCAGGCATCATTTTATTGATATTTAGCCTGAGAGAGAAAAAGGGAGACAATTACAAAACAGGAAGCATGGGATTTTTTTTTTTAAAGAGGAATACACTGTTACTTGTAATAGCCATAATGAAATAGCTGTATTATTTACTAAACTTCTTGATGTCCTACGTTGTTGTTGTTGTTAAGTGCTATCGAGTCGGTTCCAACTCATAATGACCCTGTATATGGTTTCCAAGGTAAGCCTGAACCGCCAACCTTGCAGTTCAAACCAACCTTGCAGTCCAGTGCATTAATCCATAGCGCCACACCAGGAAACATGGGATTTTCGTTTTTTTTGTTTGTTTTTTTTTTTCAAAAAAAGAGGAATACACTGTTACTTGGAAATAGCCATAATGAAATATCAATACTATTTACTAAACTTCTTGATGTTTTATAGTCATCAATAATGCATATTAAAAGCATCTAGTTAAAATTCAAATTAACTTTCTTAAAATTAAAAAGGTCTCTGTTTAAAAATCCATGAGGGGAAGTGATTTTATTTTCTTCCTGATACTTTTTAACATTTTCCAAATTGTTATATTTAGCACACGGAGCTGTTAGCACCAGGAAAAAGCGTCTATTTATTAAAAGTCTCAGCAGTAGGAATGTGGCAGTGATGGTACTGTGCAAATCTCAGAACCTCTTCTCACTGTTCATTAATAGACTTGAAGGGATCTCCACAGGGCCGGGTGAGGTCAGACCCATTATCACCATTTCATCAGCTGTCCTGGACATTTCCAGCACCGGTCCTCTGCTTGGTCCTTCTATTTAAACAGGACCCTTCTTGTGTGTCATACAGTCAAAAGAAGAACATGGACACTAGGTCAGTGGTTGTAAGAGGTGTGCTGTGCCATTATGGGATACATTTTAATCACCTTAGCAAGTATTATAGAGATATACTGAATTTATATACATTATACTAAGTAAGAAATGATAGGAGAAACTGACCACATCCTCATTTTAAAAACTTATGTAAGACTGCCCATTTCCCTACCAAAATGGTGTTTTTTTTTCTGAAATTGACCTCTATTTCACTACTTACTGGTTTGCTGACAAAGATTAAAGCATATTCTCTCAGGGTAAACACTGACTTGTTCAGAATTCTGTTTGCTGTTGTTAGCTACTTTTGAGCCAGCTTCCCAATTTACGACAATCCCATATGAAACAGGACCAGACACAGTATTTCTACTGGCTAATGTTTAGAATGGTATGCGGAAATCATTGGACAATCTCTTTGATATCCCATGGGAGTAAAGTTTTACTCAAGGTAATACAGAAACAGCTACAAGCATTACATTGACAGAGAACTTCCAGAGGTTCACGCTGGATTCAGAAGATGATGTGGAATGAGGGATATCATTGCTGATGTCTGATGGATCTTGGCTGATAGCAGAGAATATCAGGAAGATGTTTACCTGTGCTTTACTGACTACACAAAGGCTTTAGATTGTGTGGATCATGACAAGCTATCGACAACATTGTGAAGTATGAATATTCTGGAACACTTAATTGTGCTCATGAGGAATCTGTACCTGGATCAAGGGGCAGTTGTTTGAACAGAACATGGGAACACGGAATGGTTTCAAATTAAGAAAGGTGTGCGACAAGGTTGTCTTTCACCATACTTATTCAACCTGTATGCTGAGCAAATATCTGAGAAGCTGGGTTCTATGAAAAAAAGCATGGCAACAGTATTGGAGGAAGACTCATTAACAACCTGCAATACGCAGATGATACAACCTTACTTGCTGAAAGTGAAGAGCACTTAAAATATTCACTGATGAAAATCAAAGAGCACAGCCTTCAGTATGGATTACATCTCAATGTCAAGAAAACAAAAATCCTCACCACTGGACCACTAAACAACATTCTTATCAACAGAGAAAAGATTGAAGTTGTCAAGGATTTCATTCTTGGATCAACTATCAACACTCATGGAAGCAGCAGTCAAGAAATCAAAGGACGTATTGCATTAGACAAATCTGCTGCACAGGAACTTTTTAAAGTGTTGAAGAGCAAAGATGTCAGCTTGAGGACTAAGGTTCGCCTGACCCGAGCCATGGTATTTTCAATAAAGGGGTTACGAGTAGGGCTGACAACCTCAAGGTCAGCAGTTGGAAACTACCAGCGGTTCCATGGGAGAACGATGAGGCATTCTGCTCCCATAAAGATTTACAGCCTTGGAAACCCTGTGCAGGGTCACTATGAGTTGGAACTGACTCCACGGTACTTAACAACAACAAAAACAACATATGCATGTGAAAGCTGGACAGTGAATAAGGGAGACCATAGAAGAATTGATGCTTTTGAGTTATGGTGTTGGAGGAGAATATTGAAAAGTGCCATGGGCTGCCAAAAGAACCAAAAGATGCATTTTGGAAGAAGTTCAGCCAGAGTGCTCCTTGGAGGCCAAGATGGCCCAACTTCATCTCTCATACTTCGGACATATTGTCAGGAGGGACCAGTCGCTGAAGAAGGATATCATGTTTGGTAAGGTGGAGAGTCAGAGAAAAGAGGAAGACCCTTAATGAGATGGATTGGCCACGTGGCGGCATTGATGAACTCAAGCGTGGCAACAGTAGCGAGGTTGGCCAGGATTGGGCAGTGTTTCGGTCTGTTGTGCATAAGGTCGCTATGAGTTGGTGCCAACTCAATGGCACCTAACAACAATGTTCAGAAAGGACTCCTGGTGTGGCGCTGTGGGTTAATGCACCAGACTGCAAAGCTGTGTGAACTGCAAGGTTGTCAGTTCAAGCTCACCAGCTGCTCCTTGGAAACCCTACACAGGGTTGCCATGGGTAGGAAATAACTCAACGGCACTTCACAACAACAACAATATTCAGAAATAGGCAACCAGGCCTTTCTTCCCAGTCACTCTTCATCTGGAAGCTCCACTGAAACCTGTTCAACATCACAGTAACATGCAAATCTCCACTGGCAAGAGGGGCACTGGCCAGAAATCAAAGCAGGTGTCCCACACAGAAGACAAGAATTGTACCATTGAACTGTCGCTGCCCTCTGCTATCATGGAGAGGTGTTTCCGAGTTCCTGCTAATTCCTAGCATCTTGGACCAATGAGCACAGCCTTTTACACAGTAGAACTCACCATTCCATATACATTGTACATAAAGCATTGAGCAAGAAGCCCTGGACACCTGGGGAGAGTCAGTAACTCTTACTATAGAAATGACTGTGCAAAGGGCTTATGCTGGTTAGGACAGTCTAATCTAAGCCTTGGAGTAGGTTAAATGTATCACGTTTCACATACTGCCTTCTACAGTTTGAGATGAGGCAGCTTTGGAACATACCAGTATTATTGCTTTCCTCATGAATGTACTGTATTTACTGCACTCAAGTGAACTTTCCTTTGTGAAATTCTAGTTGAATGCAAGAAGCTACACGTAACTTTCAGATGTTAACTTCTAGATGGATCAACCTAAGGAGTCCTGGTGTGGCACTGTACAATAAGCATGTGACTGTCATCCACAAGGTCAGCGGTTGAAACCCACCAGCCATTCCTTGGAAACCCTATACAGGGTCATTATGAGTCAGAGCTGACTCTATAGTACTTAACAGCAACAAGGAGAACTAAAGACGTTTGTGAGGTGTGTGACTTATGTGAGGAGGTATGTAGCATCATTTTGTGATCCATTTCAAGCACCTTAGGAAGTAGTTCTAAATGAAGCATGCTTAATGCTTAAACAAGTTATTACAAGTGAAGCTGCCCAAGTTTTAATTTTTAAAAACTTCTAGAAGAACTTTTAAGACTTCTCATTTGCCTCCAGAATCGTGATGGAGTTTACCGAAACTGACCTAAAGTATGGTGTAAACCCAAATTATCCAAAACCAATTGGGCCATGAGTCTCTAGTTGCTCTTTCTCAGTGGACACTTTGTAAACAGACTGTCTGTCCTCAGTATATAGTGATCCTTCCGTCTTCACCAACCTCCAAAGCAAGGGTCCTTCCTTTATCAGCAGTCAGGTAAACACTGCTATGAGGGCCAAAGTCAGCCCTCCCCACCACACAGCTAACCGTCAGTGGGTGGTTAGCTTTGCCCTCAGCATGAGAGACATGAAATACAAAATACAGGGCTGCCCAGGGTTATCTCTGAGCTATTTTTCCCAGAACACACAAAACATTTCACACCCTCTATCGACAGCACACAACAACAGCAGCATAGATTCTATGGCACTTAACAACAACATGGACTCCTGGTGTGGCACTGTGGGATTAGCACTGAACTGCGAATCATAAGGTCAGCAGTTCACATCCACCAGCTTCTCCTCGGAAACCCTATACAGGGTCTCTATGAGTCGGAACTGACCAGATGGCACTTAACAGCAACATGGAAGCAGGGTCCTGATGTGGTGCTGTAGGAGTGACACTGGAATGCTAACTATAAGGTCTACAGTTCAAACCTACCAGCCACTCCTTGGAAACCCCATACAAGCTCGTTATGAGTCGGAACTGAGTCAACAGCACTTAACGACAACATGGGAGCAGGATCAGTTACCTGCAAATCCACTTTCCTCCAATAGAACTAAAACTTTTGTTGTAGTATTTCCTCTTTGAAATCTCACTCAGAAAAGTACAAAATGTGCCCTTAATACATACTTGCTAAAGTCCAAGCAACAACTTTGACATATCTGTATTCCCTTTGTTGTTGTTCAGTGCCTAAGAGTCGATTTCGACTCATAGTAACCCTGTGTAGGGTTTCCGAACAGCAGTTTATTGGTTTGAACTGCCAACCTTGTAGTTCAAGCTAACTTTGCAGTCCAGTGCTTTATCCTAAAGTGCCACATCAGGACTCCATGACTTAAATAAACCACAAAACTCTGGGGGGGAAAATGCTGAGACTATTTATTGAACTCTTGCTATGAGTCCCTGAGTAGTGAACATTGTTAATGTGCTCAGCTGCTACCCCAAAGGGCGGAGGTTTGAGTCTACCCAGAGATGCTTCAGAAGATACGGTATCCTACTTCTGAAAAAGCAGCCACTGAAAGCAGTAAGAAGCACAGCTCTACTCTGACACACTAGGGCGCCACGAGTCAGTCTATTTGATGGCAAATGGTTTAGGGTTTTTTGGTTTATTATATGCCAAGTGCTATGGCACTGATGATCTCATTTTATTGATAAGAAAACTAAGACCCAGCATCATTCTGGCCTAGCCTAACATAGCCAGCTAATTTGTGGTGGCATGTTTGAGCCACTATCTAAACTTTTGAGCCCTTTGCATTCACCACAAGTTGTTTCCTACTTGTGAATTCAATTAGCTTTAAAACGGGCCTTAGAAAAAGATCAGATGCCTCTGAGGGGTGCAGGCTGCCTCTTAAGTGAGTCATCAACTAGGTGCTTAGCACAGTGTCTTGGCCTTCATAGGCACCCAGGAAGTATCTATTGAGTGATTAACTACAAAGTGAAGGAAGAAATAGTGCTACAGCTAGAAACTTGAAGAGCCAGCAACCCTGAAATTTGGCACTTTGGTTTGGAACATGCTGACCTATTCACAAAGCACATGAGTTACAATCTTCAATTTTCCTAAGACATAAGTGCTTTTCACTTTGGGATTTTAAGAGGTTTGCAACCTCTGAAGTCTAAAATTTATTTTTTAAAATACTTTTGATATTGCCCTTCTACACAGTGAAAAAGAGGGAGCGCAGTGTATGCAGAATTTCAAAGCCAAGCTCGTGGAAGAAACCCCAGTCATGCAAGGGTGAAGCTGCTCCTCTCAGGAGGAATCCCTCTGAGGCAGTACAGACAGACATGTTGCAAGGAAGCTCAAACAGGTTGGGTGCACAAAGCATATTGCTAACCTCTTTTTCTCTTTCTGATCTTCTAGGGTTCTTCCTAGCCTTTCTTCTCTGGTTTTTCTTATTTTTGTCTTCCTTCATGCTTTCTACTGAGACCACAGGGTTCTGGACTATTTCTGAGGTGGGGGCTGTGTGATTGCCCATTGACCAATCAGAGATGATGTGACAGCCCCAATGGGAGTTGACAGGATTGGCGGGAAGCAAGAGGGAATTTGCTTCTGGAGTTGCATATTCTAAAGAACTGGTTTCCATAGGTTGAAATTCATAATAATCCCACTCCAGGCCACTGGAGGTCATTCTTCCACTAATTCTCAGTCTTTAACATGACATAAAGATCAGTATCTGTAGAATATTAAGTTGGGAGTAAATTCTTCACAGCATCAACATTTTCTATGTGTACTCATTACCCAAGGTAGGAAACTTCTGAGATAATTTTCTTTTCAATAATTCATCTGCCCACCTTCTTTAAAGAACACACATGAAGCATTTTCTTCAAATTCTTGCATATGTTTCACCAATAGGCATGATAAATGCATAGAAGACCAACATAGCAAATGCACTACTTCAGAACTAGTAACGGTCAATTCTACCTTCTCCCTTCCCAGTTATTTTTATACCTTTTTTGTTTTAATTTATCAGGGAGAAGCAAGGTACACATTGTCTAGGGCAAGAAAAAGATGCAAACTAAATAATAACTTCAATAAATAAAAAGGTGTCTCTGTCTAAAAGTAGGGATGGCTTTTCTTCTGCAGACATATCTCACCTCAGTTACTGTGATGGTCAATTTTATGAGCCAATCAAACTAGCCAATTTGATTCCCAGTGGTTTGGCCAAACACTAGACCAGTTGCTGTGTTACAATGTAATCTAATATATTTTAATGCAATGTAATTACTTTCCACAATGTAATCTAATGTAATCAACTGATCAGTTGAAAAGAGTGTTTCCTTAGGGTGTGTTCTGCCTCCAGTCTATAAACAGATATTTTGGTTGAACTAACTCTCTCCACTATGAATCCTATTGGCTAACCTATAGATCTTGGGATTCAAGTCTGCAGAAATCTCCAGCCTGCTGCCTATGCTACAGATTTCGGATTTGTTGTGTGAGCCAAGCTCCTGAAATAGATCAGCCCCACCCCACCACCCTTTTTTCTCTCTCTCTCTGTTATAAGCTGCTGTCAATCAAGTCAGTCTACAACTCATAGCAACCCCATGTCTTACAGGAAAGACCTGCTCCATGAGGATTTCTTGGCTGTAATCTTTACGGAAACAATTCACCAGGTCTTCCATGGGTGGGTTTGAACCACCATCCTTTGGATTAGCAGTCAATTGCAAACCTCTTGGGTTACCCAGGCTAAGAACTAAATATATGGACCTCATTGGTTCTGTTTCTCCAAACGACCCTCACTAACAGATATCTTGTTAGAACCCCTGGCTGTTTTACCTCCCACCTTGCCTAATGTAAAAAGCAGCAGTTCTAGGACATTCGTGGGGCATATGCTGCATGAAAACATAATGCTACTTGGGGTTCAGAACCTGAGGTGCTGGGCTGGGATGGGTTAGCATGTGTGGCACTGCAGCCTTGCCACCAAGGCAAGAAAGGGCTTTAATTATGTAAAGAGAAGACAAGATGCATCCTAACATGTCTGCACCAGCAATTCAACACCCCACCTTCTCTGTGGTGAGAATCTCTTCTCCCTCCCTGTATTTTTGTCCCTGTCATCTAAGGATATCATATAATCAAGAATGCTATGATGGCTACAGTACAGGAAAATAAAGCAGGATTATGACCCAAGGTACATATCAACAGCTTAAAGCAAAATCTGCATCTTTTGAAAATAACATCCTTGATGACCAAACAGATACAAGAAAGAACTGGGGATTCATGAAAGACACAGGACTACTACCTGCTTATGCATAATACAATGCCATATTTTGTTATTTTTTTGAAAATGCTTTTCTTGTCACTTGTGAATGTGTTTGCCAAGTTTTTGGACATTGCTCAGAGATCAAAGGAAAACTAGAAGGGCTTGCGTAAACCACACCCTTACATACCCAAGGTTCTGAAATTTGAATAATATTCTATTATTTTATGTTAAAAATGTAAATCTGGAAGGGGCTGTACAGAGTGTAAACTTTGCAAGACAGTACTGTGTTCTATACATTTGCTTTTATTTATTAGAGTCCTACGATACATATTAGAGTTGCGTTTGTTTCTGAAAATAGTTTTCAGTGATATGACCCTAACAGCTCATTAGTGGACAGTTTACCTGTCCTGTCCACATCTGCTTCTTGAGAATTCATCTTTCCCCTAACAGAGTATGGGTGACATCACCCCTACTGTACTCACTGCTGTACTCTCAGACAGCAACCCAGCTGACTCAGGAAGGGATGGTTAAGTCACCCAGAGACTGAATGAAGAGACTCAGAGACGGAATTGAGTTGGTAACCAAGTCTCAATAATGATGAAGCACTAGAGTGAATTCTTACTGGAGGTGTTCTTTTCTTAGAGTCCATGAGATATGTCTCCTTTTATTTCCCCTTGGATTAATTGGAATAAATTCTTTTCAACTAAATATACACTGGCTTACATAGGTCAAGGTGAGAAAAGGAAAAAATTGAGGTTTTAACCCCACCTCTTCTTCAATGGTAAGTGTGGTAAATGTCACACATTTCGAGCAAGTCCTTTCCATGTGTGTTTGTATGTGGTGTTCCATGTACTAGTACTGGACACAGGAGGAAATGCCCTGTCTGGTTCTGTACTTGAATGATAATAGCTAAGGAATAAATTATGACTGGGAAAACCATTCCGCGTTCACCAAACTCTAACTTACTTCTGAGGAAGAGTCTCAGAGGAGACATTCAAACTACACTTCTGCCTATCATGGAGGACCAGGATGGAGGTAAAAAGTGTATGAGGGCATCTACCACCCTCCTGCCTCACAGTTGGTTATGTATTGTACTGTGCATTTCTAGGCAGACAAACTTCCTGGCCAACACATCCCCTGATAGAAACAATGACTTCTACTCACATCATCCTGGACATCGAGGTCACAGCCAGCCTTCAGCAAGATCTGAACGACAGAGAGATGGCCCTTATTGGCAGCAAGATGCAATGGGGTCCGGCCATGCTGTTGATGAAAAGGAAATACCCATTAAACTACTTCCTGAGGAGGAGGGGCTAAAGCAAGATCTGCACAGTAGCTTTAAAGGAGATCACCTCTTCTCCCTCCTTCTCAGTTTGGCAGAAGATTCATATTGATTTATCCAAAATTCAAGTTTGTCTCAGTTAACCACAGTATAATCAATGAACAAAATATACTTAGAATGTAAAAACTTCCTTTAGGACATCATTTCTATTCCCTACTCATCAAACTTTGTTGGTGGTGTTGTGTGTCGGCAAGTTGGTTCTAACTCATAGCAACTCTGTATAGGCTTTCTGAGATTGTAAATCTTTATGGGAGAAGAAAGCCTCATTTTTCTCCTGTGGAGTAACTGATGGATTTGAACTGATACAGTTAACAGCCCAAAATGTAACCCACTATGCTATTAGGCCTTTGCTAATGACAGAGAACTTCCAGAGGTTCTAGCCAGATTCAGAAGAGGACGTAGAACAAGGGATGTTATAGCCGACATTAGATGGATCTTGACTGAAAGGAGAGAATACCAGAAAGATGTGTGACTGTGTTTATTGACTACTCAAAGGCTTTTGATTATGTGAATCATGACAAACTATGGGCAACACTGTGGAGAATGAGTATTCTGGAACACTTAATTGTACTCATGAGAAACCTGTACATAGACCAAGAGGCAGATGTTCCAACAGAACAAGGGAACACCGAATGGTTTAAAATTAGGAAAAGGGTGCATCAGGATTAGCGGAAGACTCATTAACAACCTGCGATACGCAGATGATACAACCTTGCTTGCTGAAAGTGAGGAGAACTTCAAATACTGACAAAGATAAAAGACCACACAGCCTTTGGTATGCATTGCATCTCAATGTAAAGAAAACAAAAATCCTCACCACTGAACCAATAAACAACATCCATATAAATGGAGAAAGTACTGAACTTGTCAAAGATTTCATTTTGCTTGGATCAACCATCAACACTCCTGGAAGCAGCAATCAGGAAATCAAATGACATATTGCATTACGCAAATTTGATATACAAGACCTCTTTAAAGTGTTCAAAAATGTCAATCTGAGGACTAAGGTGCGCTTGATCCAAGCCATGGTATTTTCAATAACCTCACGTGCATGTGAAAGTTGGACAGTGAATAAGGACGACTATAGAATTGATGTGTTTGAGTTTTGGTGTTGGAGGAGAATACTGAAGTACCATGGAATGCCAAACAAACAAACATTTGTGGTGAAAGTACACCCAGATGCTCCTTGGAAGCCAGGATGGCCAGATTTTGTCTTTCATACTTCAGACGTATTGTCAGGAGAGACCTATCCCTGGAGAAGGATATCATGGTAAAGTGGAGGGTCAGAGAAAAAAGGAAGACCCCTAACGAGATGTACTTCCATCAAGTCAAGTCCAACTCAGGGTCACCCATGTGTTAGAGTAGAACTATGTTCCATAGTTCAATAATGAACCATGTTCATTATTGAAAGATTCTTTGGGCAAATTATTGAATGGTGCAGAAAGCATCAAGAGAAGATGGAAGGAATACAGTCACTGTACCAAAAGGAAATGGTTACTGTTCAACCATTTCAAGAGGTACCATATGACCAAGAGCTAATGATACTCAGGGAGGAAGTCCAAGGTGCATCGAAGGAATTGGCAAAGAACAAGGCACCAGGAATTGATGGAATAAAAATTGAAATCTTTCAAGAAAGTGAGGAGGCACAGGAGGCACTCACTCATCTATGCCAAGAAATTTGGAAGACAACTATATGGCTGACTGATTGGAAGAGATCCATATTTGTGCCCATTCCAAAGAAAGGTGGCACGACGGAATGTGGAAATCATTGGATAATCTCTCCGATATCTCAAGCAAGTAAAGTTTTGCTAAAGGTAATACAGAAACAGCTACAATCATACATTGACAGAGAACTTCCAGAGGTTCAAGCTGGATTCAGAAGAAGCCGTGGAATGAGAGATATCATTGCTGATGTCCGATAGATCTTGGCTGAAAGCAGACAATATCAGAAAGATGTTTACCTGTGCTTTATTGACTACGCAAAGGCTTTTGATTGTGTGGATCATGACAAGCTATGGACAACATTGAGAAGTATGAGTATTCTGGAACACTTAATTGTACTCATGAGGAATCTGTACCTGGACCAAGAAGCAGTTGTTTGAACAGAACATGGGAACACTGAATGTTTTAAAATTGGGAAAGGTGTGAGACAGGGTTGTATTCTTTCGCCATACTTGTTCAACCTGTATGCTGAGCAAATAATACGAGAAGCTGGGTTCTATGAAGAAAAACGTGGCATCAGGATTGGAGGAAGACTCATTAACAACCTGCAATATGCAGATGATACAACCTTGTTTGCTGAAAGTGAAGAGGACTTAAACATTTACTGATGAAGATCAAAGAGCACAGCCTTCGGTATGGATTACATCTCAATGTAAAGAAAACAAAAATCCTCACCACTGGACCAATAAACAACATTCTTATCAACGGAGAAAAGATTGAAGTTGTCAAAGACTTCATTCTTCTTGGATCAACTATCAACACTCACAGAAGCAGCAGTCAAGAAATCAGATGACGCATTAGGCAAATCTGCTGCACAGGAACTTTTTAAAGTGTTGAAGAGCAAAGATGTCAGCTTGTGAACTAAGGTGCACCTGACCCAAGCCATGGTATTTTCAATAACCTCATATGGATGCGAAAGCTGGACAGTGAATAAGGAAGATTGTAGAAGAATTGATGCCTTTGAATTATGTTGTTGGAGGAGAATACTAAAAGTGTCATGGGCTGCCAAAAGAAACAATAGATCCATCCTGGAAGAAGCACAGCCAGAGTGCTCCTTAGAGGCCAAGATGACCAAACTTCGTCTCTCATACTTTGGACATATTGTCAGGAGAGAATAGTCGCTAAAGAAGGATATCATGCTTGGTAAGATGGAGGGTCAGAGAAAAAGAGGAAGACCCCCACAGAGATGGATTGGCCAAATGGCAGCATCGATGGACTCAAGTGTGGCAACAGTAGTGAGGTTGGCCCAGGATCGGACATTGTTTTGTTCTGCTGTGCATAGGTCATTATGAGACGGTGCAGACTCGATGGCACCTAACAACAAAAACATGTTCCACAGCATTTTCAAGGGTTGTTTTTTTTTGATGTAGACTATCAGGTCTTTCTTCCAAGGAGCTTCTGAGTGGACTTAACTGCCAACCATTGATTAGCAGATGAGCACATTAACCATTTGCACCATTTAGAGACTTCATTCAAAAGTATAAATAATAGTATAAAATGTACATACCTAACAACCAATTTAAGAAAACATTAACATCCCTCATGAATCCCTTCCAAATCTCATTTCTCCTCCAACCCCTGAGCTAACCACTATCTTGAACTTGGCATTTATCATACCTTTGCACTTCAGTGTATGCTTACTACATGTTTGTAGTCATAAACAATAATACATAAGCATTGTCTTGCTTGTTATTATATATGTCCTTCTGCAATGTTTTTGCCCAACATTATTAATTTGTTTTTTGTTTTTTCTTTTCTTTTTTGCATATTATCAAAGGGGTTTGTCCTGCTAGAGTATCAGTAAAGGTCTTTGGGACATTTTACTGAGATGCAAAGTGGGATTTAAGATCTTTGTTCTTTAGGGGTATGTTTCAGTATGGGTGGGAGGTTGTTGTTAAATGATGCTTCAAGAATAAGTTGGAAACATTTCTTTATGCAGTTCCCATTCATTTATGCATTATTTTATCATTCATTCTCCTACTAATGGGCACCAGGTTGTCTCCAGTAGTTTGGAAGGCACATTTGTGTTCACACTGCCTTGCACACCTTTGTGAGTTCCTTGGTCCCACTGCTGGACTATAGAGAAGACTGGTCCCTTCAACAGTCCTCAGCATGCAGATTTCTGAGATGATCAACCACAGAGGACAATACCCACAAGAAATAACACTCTGCTGTGTAAATCAGTTGCTATCCAGGGAGCCAGCTCTGCCCGACTCCTAATTCTAAGGTATACTTATGTACCTCCCTTAAATTTCACAATAAAGAAATGTTTACAACTTACTCTTTTTTTTTTCCCAGCAGACTTATTTTATTTTGCTATAATTCATTTTAAATTATGTGCCAAATTTGAAAATCAGAAGATTTTACAGAAAAATCCAGATTTAATAATGGGTTTGGGCTAAGTGAGCAGCAGCCCCTTCAAACAGGCCCTCTTTATATACAAATCCTGCGTGGTCCCTTTGTCCCTGGTTGGCACAAATGGCTTGTTCTCAGCTACTAACCTGACACCACCACTTGTCTGTCAGTTTGTCATACTGTGGTGGCTTGTGACCAACTTATTCTTGAAGCATCATTTAACAACAACCTCCCACCCATACTGAAACATACCCCTAAAAAACAAAGATCTTAAGTCCCACTTTGCTTCTCAATAAAATGTCCCAAAGACCTTTATTGACACTGTAGCAGGACAAACCCTTTTGATCTTAATATTTTGCCATAGCAACTGTCTGTCTGTGGAAGAAAACAGAGATAACAGACAATAAAGAATCTTCCCTTCTAACCATGCAATCCAATCAAAGCAAAAGAATGGTTCTGGAAATGGGAAAGAAAGAGGTCACAGCTCACATTAAAATTAGAATCCTTAATTAAGAAAAATGTTATTCCCAAGAAAGACGGCTATAAAAACACTTCATAAAAAAAGGCATGACCTTTTTCTCTGGCTATTGTCCTTAGCTGTGTATATATTTAACCTTGATTGTTTAAAGGGAATTTGTGAGAATTCCAAAATTGAGGTGCTTGACTGCTATCAGAATAAGCCCAATCTGAACCCCAATTCCATCTAAGATTTTGCTTAATTCCCTTGCAACCCTCAAACCCTTAGACACACTTAAGTCCATCGTAAAGGAGACATTTTTCTCTGTGGTTAAACTAAACATGTGCAAAGAAAGTTCTTAAGGGAGACACCAGTTCCCTGGGCAAC